GAAAACGGAAAGGGGATAGAAGAGGGGAAAATGACGGTGGATAACGACTGAGATGATAATCTATAGAAAAAAAAATTTTTCTATATGTTTTGCTGCTCTATGTTTATGGTATCAAAACCAACAGTAACCAAACTTGAAGTAGTCAGAACTGAAGAAAACTAGTGAACAAACAGTTCGCAGAACTAATGCTCATTAAACTATGGCAACTAAACTGAAAAAATAGTCAACAATTACATTGCTGCCCTTTGGCCTACTAATTTCTACTTTTGTATAAAACTAACTTATCAGCTTTGAATAATATCGCTAGAAACAAAACAAAAAAATTTGAACAAAAATTTCATACCGATGAACAACACCATTTTGGTGCATAAATGCGACAGCTTCAAGAACTTGCTTCATCAAATTTGATGCATCCTGCTCTGTAAACGACCCCTTAAAAATTCAACATTTTTTTTTTTTGCCACTTAGTTTTTGATAGTTTTTTTTTTTAAATGTATTCATACAGATATACACATACATTCATCCATTCAGCCATTTATATGAACAAAAAAGTCCACATCCACACCTATACCCACAGATGCACATAATACGTTGCTTCAAAATCAGGTGCAAGATCTTTTGTTCAATTGATCAACTCATTGTTTATATTGTTTTTGTTGCCTAATCGAGTGTCCAACAATTTCTTCAACTTTATTTTTTTAATCTTTAAAAACTGTTACAAAAGTAATAACAGTAATAAACAGTACTTATTGTAGTAATCGACATGACAGCTGACTGTCAATAAACATCACCAAAACATCAACGTACTATCAATTTAAACTTTCTGTTAATATCTCTCATTTTGTTTTTCATTGTTGTTGAATATTTTTAAAGTATGTTTATCAAAAAATAGCTAAGATACTGCTTGAAAAAAAAAAGAAACAAAAAATAGCAAATTCTATTTTTTTTTCTCGTTTGGTGAACTAAAAATAAAAAAAAAAATTTTTTTTTTTTATGAAAAGAAAAACAATTATTTTACAATTTGATTTTGATCTAATCAATTGATTTTGATCAACTAATTGATTGATTGCTTAAATAAATTGATTAATTGATGATTACCTTAGCAACAATTCTGTCAAACAGTTCACCGCCGGTAACAAGTTCCATAACCAAATACACATAGTCTTTTTCGTCATAGGTACCATATAATTGAATAATGTTCGGGTGCTGTAATCTGTAGCAAAAACAATAACAGAGAAAAAAAATATGTGGAATATTTACTGCTCTCTTTTTTTTTTTAAATTTAACTATCCATCAAATATTTGTATACATTAGGAAAAGCAGAAAAAAAAAAACAGAAATCAAATTTTTCTGCTAATTTGCTACTGTTTTTGCTGTCTTTGTTATTGGTGTTGCCAAAAATAATAGTGTTATTTTTTGAGCCAAACTCGGAAATGTTAAACAAAGTTAAGTTGTTGCTATCGTTTTTATTGCCACTGCTGTTGCTGTTACTGATACTGCTACTGCTGAGGATGCTGTTATTAGACAAAATGAATGGTTACAAGTCACCAAATGACATTGTTCCTCACCATAATACATCTGTTTTACACTGCAGCAACAGAATAAAAATAACGACAGCAATAGCAACAGAAAGAGCAACAGCAGCAACGAAAACAATAACAACAAACTTAGACTTGACACTTAATTCTTGGAAATTTACACTTGTTATGCAGCCTTATAGCATTACCAAATACATATAAATCTCTTTCCTCATTGAAGCATTAAGAACAACACTGAAGTCAAAAATTCCTCTGCTCTTGTCCCCCTTCTTCCCCTTTTTCTTTAATGCATATCTGCTTAGCTTGCCTTTTTTATTACACTGCCATCTCCTTTATTACCCCGTTCCTTCATCAAAAAGAATTTATTGAGTTATCTGGGTTTTCCTTAGGTATACTAACTTATTTCTTTAATCGGTTTTTGATTCCCATAGTAAACAAAAAAAAAGGCAAAAACAAAACTAACAAGATTAAACTTGAGTTCAACAAAACCAAAAAAACATCCTTCTTTTCCCTCTCTCTGTTTCTTTTCTTTTTTCGCCTTCCTCCTGGTTCCTATTCAGTTGTTCTGTTAATTTCTAATAAAAATTCAACTTTCAACTGTTTCGACGAGAAAAAATTTTTTCCCTTCTCTCTTCTTCGTTCGTTTCTTCCCTTCTTTTTTTTCCAAAATAAAGAATAAATAAAACAGAAAAGAGTTAGAATTAGCAGAAGAAAAAAAGTAAAAAAAATTCAATTTTTTCTCATTTTCTTCATTCCCTTTTCAATGATGCATTAATAATAAAAAGTTTTTGTTCGTCTTAATTCTTTTACAAACTTGATGTATTGAAACAGTTTCCCAGTAACAAAATAATAGTAATCACAAATTATAACAGAAAAAAAAAGAAAAAGTTCCCAGATTTTACTAGTCAAGAAAAAAAATCTGAAAAAAAAAACAATTAACATTCTCCTAACTTCTTTTTCCATCAATTTTTCAAAAGTTTTTACACAAAATTCAATCAAACTGATCTTAAGTTGAACTCGACTGAAATTAAACCAAACAGAACCAATAGGCTGTCTTAAATTTTCAATGTTCAACAGTGCAATAAGTGAACCGATAGATGACTAAATTATAGCTTAGAAAAAAAGACAATTTGATATTTCTTTTCAAAATTTTAAATTACCAAACATTGTTTCTCAGTACAACAAAAAAAAAAAAATTTGTGTAGTAAATAATGCTGGAAATGAAACAGTAAAAGAAGAAGCAGAAGGAAAGCTTTGTGGCAAAGCAGTAACAAAAAAAAAAAAAAGAAAAAGTAAAATAGTATCAGCGAACAACAGTCAAAAAAAAAAGGTGGTGTATGTGTTTTACCTTCTAAGCACTCGAATTTCATTCTCCAAAGCTTCTTCTTTTCCTTTTAAAGCTTTTTTTTCGATACATTTTACTGCTACCTGTTTGCCGTTTTCATTTTTACATTCTGCTAAGAACACCTAAAACCATAAACATTCATAAATCAGTCAATTAGTCTGAGAATAAAAATTTATATTACAATAACAGGTTAGGAAGAGGTTAGAAGACAAAAAACTTCTTTTTTTTTTAATACTGTTTGCATTACAGCTGATAATGGTTATATTAAAAATTGAAAAACAGATCTGTTTCTTACAAAAAAAAAAAAACTATGAGGTTATTTTTTTAGAATACAATGATTCTCTTTATATTCCATTTTTCGTCTGCCTTCCTCTTCCAACTAAAACAAAACTTGTTAATAGATCTTCGTTTCTTTTTTTTTTT